ACCCTGGCTCGGTCTAACTCTCGCCTGCTCTATGACTATGCCAACAGACCCAGATGTGGCTTACGAAAGCAAAACCATGCTTACTGCTCTCACTTCAAAAGCAAGATGACGCACCTCAAGTGGGCTCCAAAGCTTCCTGGTAGTGATTCGCTATTTCCCATTTCCTTCTCTCTCCCACTCTAATTCACACCTTCTCTCTCTTCTCCCTTCAAACCCTAGGGCTTCCTCCCTCCCCCCCCCCCTCACTCTCACTTGTCTTAAGTCACTGAAAATGATGTAAGCAATATGAAAAGTCATGTGCATTCTTATATCACCCACCTGTTCCCAGGCCCATAGCCTCACCTTCCCTCCCATGACCAAGAAGGACTGTCCCACGTTCCTGTGTGAGGCTGGCCTCCCCGCTGGTGTACTAGACAGATCCTGTTTTCCCTCATCTGCTGAAAGACACAGTCCACAGCTCTCTTCTCTCTCCTGCATAGTCAGTTTCTCCCTCCCTACTGAACCTTTCCCAACAGCCCCAAAATGCACTGTGGCTTCATGCCTCTTGTAAACAACAAAACTGTCCGGACTCCACTTTTTCCTTTAGTGTCGGTTCCCTTTTCTGCTACCTTTCTCAGCAAAGCTCCTCCAAAGAGTTGTCTCTGCTCTGCCTCCTGTTATCTTTTCTGGCAGGTTTGGCACCACCTCCCCAACTGTCCTGGTCACAATCACTAGTCAGCACAGCAGTTCTCAACCTGTGGGTCTCGACCCCTTTGGCGGTCGAACGACCCTTTCACAGGGGTCACCTAAGACCATCCTGAATATCAGATATTTACATTACGATTCATAACAGTAGCAACATTACAGTTATGAAGTAGCAACGAAAATAATTTTATGGTTGGGTCACAACATGAGGAACTGTATTTAAAGGGCCAGAAGGTTGAGAACCACTGAGTCAGCACCTGCTGAGTCCAGTGGAACAACTCCCTTCTCTTGCCTGACCTCGAAGCACTATCTGGCACAGCGGATGCTCCCTCTTCCCCCTGGCTTCCCAGACCACCTTCTTCAGTTTTTCCTCTTCCCTTTCTGGCTGTTCCCCCCCCTGTCTTGTTTCCTCTTCAGCTCCCTGACCTCAAAGAACTGCCCCACCTCTATGCTCAGTTCTCCAACTACTTCTCCCCTCAATCTACACTCTCTCCCCAATGTGGGCTGAAGGCTTCCTTATGTCCATCTAAACACTACTAACTCCCAAATTCATATCACCAGCCTGGACATCTCCCATGGCCTGTGTTTGCAATACAATAGCCGCTAGCTATGTGTGGCTATTTAATCACCCTCACCACCACCACTACCACCACCTCCGTCACGACCACAGGCACTGAATTAACTCCTGCATGTAGCTCTACAGATACAGACAGGGAACCTACATAAGTGGAACGGATCAGAAAGATTACAGCGAGACTGCTTAGTGGGTGTGCGATGATGAAATGCTGTTCATGATCAGCTAATTCCTTAAATGCTACTCTTGGGCAGGCGACAAGAAGAAAACGTTCCTACCCAGTTACAATTATTCATGAGAATTCTCCTGGCCCTGCTTCTTTTGTCTGCCAGCCATTCTACGGAAACAGCCCAGTAAGGAGGCGCAGTGGAAGGCACAGGCAATTATGCATCTTGCTGCATCTCAGCTTTGGACGTCCTCTGTGAACTCTTAATTAATTCCTCCCCTATATTTTCGGTTTGTTTCCTGGACCTCTTGTTTACATTGTATTCCCCCCCCCCACCTCCCTTCACTGCTCTTGGCTTCATCCCCTTGAGGCTCCCAAATTCTCTTCCTAGTCCTCTTTTCTTTCCTCAAACCTCCCCGTGTTCAGCCTTCAGCTTCGTGCACCTGTTCTACTCTTTCTTATCCTTTTTTACCTTTGAAAACAGAAAGCGCCAAACTGACAGACACTGTTATGGTTTGTTTTTTTCTTCTCCTGCCTGAGCTGCAGTTCAGGCTCTCTCCTCCTTGCTTCTATAGCGAGAGCCCGAGTACTGGGTTGCCATGGCAACAGCGAATCCAACCAGGCGGGTCCCAGTGATGCTATGAGCTGCCATGGTGAGGAAGCGGCTCCAAGTCGCCCCTGAGCCTAGATGGGTCGTGAGCATCGTAATTCAAGAGCAGGCTGGGCAGATTCTGCCCGGAGCCCGAGGTTGTACATCAGGCCCACAGCTGTATGGTGCTTTCAGAGACAACAGCATCAATAATAAGGCTTCCGCTGCACCAACCGAATACGTGACATTATGAGGATTCATTTGAAAAATTTCAAAAGCTCTATTCTTCTACCTTCCCTGAGGGAGAACCTTCGCCTGTCTCTGGAGTCTCGGAGAACTCGGCAGAAAGTAAAAGCAGACTGACAGCTCGAGCCCATCCTCCTTTATGCCACGTGCCTGCCCCTCCCACCCCCAGAGCAGGCGACCCTGAGTGGTCCGGGTCAAATGACTGAGAAGCACTGACTGGGCTGGCAACATCTCCGGGAATTAATTCGGTTCACACAATGATATTTCAGTCGCACAGAGGTCAGTGCCCCCAGGTCGTGGGAACGAATTGTTAAAGTGGGGCAACAAGTGTTCTGCGCGTGACGCTTTTCTGAAGATGTGAGCTGGGGAGAAAGCATTCAGGAGGTACCTCTGTAGCGAATGGCACCAGCCGCAGTGAGGGTCCGCCGCTGTGAGGCACTCCGAACAGGACTTGTGCTTATTGCAGTTTGCAACTCGAACTCTCCTCACCTATAAAGAGCAATGACAGCGGTTCAGACAGAATGATAAACACCACCAGGAAAACCGCCACACCTTATCTGATGAAGGGCCACCTGTACGTTTATGGGCTCACTCTGAATATCTCCACGGTAACAGTGGGCCGGGGGTCTCAAGTCCCAAGGTGGGGAACAGGTTATCAGAATCACCTTGGGAGCTTATGAAAGTGCAGATTCCCAGCCGCCCCCTGCGGGGACTCCAGCTGAGGAGGTCTAGGGCCAGCTGAGGAGTCTGCACCTTTAAGCCCCTCAGGTGAATCTGATACGCAGTCAAGTTTCTGGTCTGCTAGGAATGATGTCGAAGGGGATCACGGAATCAGGTCAGCTGGCTTCATACAGAGTCAACGGTACTTGGAAATGAGCATCTGGAAATAGCAAAGGCTCTGACCCAGAGTAGCACCAGGTTGTCCCTGGAGAAGGAAGTGAGGAGAAGCCTCCATCCCTGGGGGCGGGGGTGGGGGAGTGTTGGGCTCCATCATCTCACATCCCCTCTCCTGGAGTTGAAAGTAAAAAAAACAACAACAGGGGAGTTTTCAATCATTCCCTGCCCCTGGGGTTGCTTCTTCCAGTTGTCAGACAAAGCCACAGACAGGGCGCAGTGCTGGGCAGAGGCAGGCAGAGCCTTGAAGCAGACGGTGGGAGGCAGGGACCTGAGGGTTGCACGGCACCCACTGAAGGTAATGAAGAAACCTGGGGGACTCGTGAGGCCAGGAAGCTATATTTGTCAGAAAGTATAAGTAACTTCTTTAAAAGATTAGAGAAACAGAGAGTTCTAGGAGGGGTCTGTGAGGAAAACGAGTGATCCTGAGAAATAAGTTGACTTCATTGAGGATAACCATGCCCGTCCACTTCACAGTTCTCGGTGCTGCTGACAGACATACTGACGGACCACCAGCCCGAGCCAGCGGTAACCAGCATGTGGGTATTTCCTTGTAGCTCACAAACATCTTTGTAATCTGGGGGAGGGGGTGGTTCATAAATGTCACATAAGCTCTCTAACCTTGTTTTCTCATCCGTGAAATGGTGATGGTGCTGCAGCCTTCCTGGGGCTATTACAAACATTGCCTGGCACATACTAAGTGCTCAATAAATGTTGGCTATTGCTATTATGTGAGAAAAGTTTCCACGGTCCAACAAACATGTGAAATCTTACACTGAAAAAGCAAAATAGGTTTCCTTAGCACAAGGCTCAGAGCCTTCGAATATGCCGAGATCATGATACTCCAGCAGGGGGACAGTCAGTAGCAGCTGCTCCTAGGACAATTTTTACTCAGAGCATTTAGTGGAATATGAATCTCTAGAATATTCTGTAAGAATTACCATACACTATAGTTAAACAAACATATAACTCCATATAAAAGAGAGGACACTATAAATACCACATTAGACCTGCTTCTTCAACTGAACACACGATAGTGACTATTCCACAGCAATGCATGGATCTCCATGTGGTTATTTTTAATGGCTACATATTATACCATTCTATGGATGTATGAGGGCATGTTCATTTGGCTATTACTATTTGCCCAAGAATCTAAGAAAGGGTTTTCCTTCGGTCTGCCTCCCTTGGGGTTGTATTGGCCCAACCAGAGTCTCGCTGGTAAGATCTCTAGCAGGAAACCTACGCGAAGAGTGTAAGAATAACCAGCTTCGATGCCCAGTGGAAAAGTCTCCTCAGGACGTCAGCTGGATGACCAGAGACCAGAGCAGTTCACCTTCAGAAAGTGAACATCTGTCAGCAATTGGAGGCTCTCACAGTGTTCCCATCCTATGGTCTTGAGTTCCAGGGAAGGTGGTAATGAGGACTTCTGAGCGATTTGCAATGTTTTAAAAAGCTGAGTGGAAAAACACGCACAGACTAAGCCAGACTTCAAGTGTCAGTGCTTTGGGCTGGAATTTTATCAGCTTTGTGGCAGCATAGGCGGGCCCCTGACTGTTAGCTTTAGATGCCCTTGATAAATACAGCCTGAGAATGGGAGTTGTTACTTAATATATGCACTTCTTTGAGTAGACAAAAATCTCTCAAATATGGGAATGCTGCGGAAGAATATAATAAAAAGTTTTGGAATGGGGAAGCAAGCTGGTCAAGGAGATTCCATATAGTGAAGAACTGGTTTACAAAGGTATATGAGGTCCAGTGGCCATCGAGATGTGGTCAGTTAGACATAACTGACTTTTCAACATGCAAAGAGCAATAGGCCTTTTTAGGAATTCCAGGAACTATAAGTGCTTGCAAAGCTACTCTGTGGCTCTAACAACACATAGAGATTAATTCCATTGCTATAGTCCTTAGAGTGCTTGAGAGGAAAAGAATGAAAAATTGGGCCCTGATATAATTATGTAAGCCTCAATTATATTCTTTGCATTTTGTATGTTCAAAATAATAATGGGTCAAAAACACTGTGCCAAAATGGCCTGTTCAATTTTCAAAAATTTGTGACTTGATCTCATTTATCATGGGCTTTAAAAGATCAGAGCATAATATCCTAGTTCTGACAGGCCTAACCCATATATATATATATATATATATATATATATATATATCCTTGAGCAAGTTATTTAACCTTTTCAAGTCTTAGATTCTTCATATAAAAAACAAAGGTAATTTTATACCATTAAATTATTAATACTTTTCATTAACATTATTTATTATAAGTGTGTGTACACAACTCTATGTGTCTCATCTAGAGACCATATGTAGAATAATAATTAGTACATAGTCAGGAGGGACTCAGTAAAAATTAGTTTATCTCCCCCTTCCCTTGGTGAAGCACTTTGTAAAAATGAAGAAAATGTAGAAAGGTATCCTTTGTAATTCAGTAAGCAGAAGCAAGAAGAAAAACTAAAGCAGCCAGCTAAATTAAGAGAGGGAGGGCAAGTGCCATATATTTCCTGGTTAATGAATGTGTATGAGACTGTGAACTGATATTAACCCCAAATTCCAAAGCTAATCCTATTGGGTATATTCATAAATGCATCTAACCGTTCAGTGCCCACATAATAAATGTGTAAATTCAGTCATCTTGCTGATGGTGCGCCATTTGCGAGCACACCCTCCTCTGCAAAACCTGGCATTGGAAATATAGCCAATAATAACACTGTCTAAACAGGTGATATTTCTTGCTTAGTTACTGACAGTAATGTTTTTAATTCTGTGCTTGTGAACCATTGCCCGCAGCGATGGTTCAACTCGGTAGTTCAAAGTAAAAGCTTCACTACTAGATAATGACATCAATTAAACACTCTGTATTCATAAGTCAGAAGCAGTAACTAGTATTTTAACCTACCTCTTTTCCAGCTGTTAGATAGATGTAGCTATTCTTCTCAGGATGCGGAACGAGTTTGTAAAAAACAGGTGTTTCTTCTTTAATTTCATAGATAACCTCTGGACAATTTGAGGTCAAATTCTCACCAAGAATAACCTGTGGGTTTTTATTTTTCAAAAAGAGAAATATGATTTCTATTAAATATTTTGAATAGCAGAGTGTCAAAACTTGTATCTTAACTCTAAAACCACATCCTTTCTTACTCACTACATATACTGGCTAAGGTACCATGTTCCTTCATCACCTTCTCATGTCTGCCTTCAACAGGGCTGGTAATAATAAGCACAGTATTTCTGCTTTTGTATGGGACAAAGTCACACATGTACATGCAAGTGTGGGTGTGTGCATGCACACACACACACACACAGCCACTCTTCAATGTTGGGCAATATACTCACATGTGGAAGCTCGTCCACAATTCCTGACCATGGCTGATTGGCCTTCTGTGAAGCTGCAAGTAACAGCTTCTTTAGTATTAGCCCAAGACTTATCTTAAAACTAAAGAAAGTCAGCTCAACATATATTTTACGTGGGTTATTCTGGTTCTCCCATGTAATTCTACACAGTCATGCATTTTAAAGCAATCAGGACAAGTTACCAGACCTAAACAAGGAGTATGTATTTACAGTATACTAGTATATGAAATGTAAGCGAGTCTGGCTTTGAAATTGGATAAACATGAGCTTCACTTATCTTTAGCCAATAAACATGACTGAACATCCACTATGTAGTAGGCATCTTCTAGGTGTTTGGACCATGCAGTGAACACAGTGGGGATGGAAGGGCGGGAATCCTGCCCTCAAATAACTTACACGCGTGCAGGGAAATGGCAACAGTTAACAAAAAGTATACACACACACACACACACACACACACACACACAAACACACATATATGTGTGTATATATGTATATAACACACACACACACACACATACACATACACACACTGAGTGGCCAGATTATTATTATTTTTTTAATTAAATCTTTATTGTTCAGATTATTACAGTTGTTCTCTTCCCCCCGCCCCCCATGGCTCCCCTCCACCCGGTTCCCACCCCACCCTCTGCCCTTACCTCCCCGCCACTGTCCTCATCCATAGGTGTATGATTTTTGTCCAGTCTCTTCCCGCACCCCCTCACACTCCTCCCCCCCACCGCCCCGAGAATAGTCAGTCCACACCCTTTCTATGCCCCTGATTCTATTATATTCACCAGTTTATTCTGTTCATCAGATTATTTATTCCCTTGATTTTTAGATTCACTTGTTGATAGATGTGTATTTGTTGTTCATAATTTGTATCTTTACCTTTTTCTTCTTCTTCCTCTTCTTAAAGGATATCTTTCAGCATTTCATGTAATACTGGTTTGGTAGTGATGAACTCCTTTAGCTTTTTCTTATCTGTGAAGCTCTTTATCTGACCTTCAATTCTGAATGATAGCTTTGCTGGATAAAGTAATCTTGGTTGTAGGTTCTTGCTATTCATCACTTTGAATATTTCTTGCCACTCCCTTCTGGCCTGCATAGTTTCTGTTGAGAAATCAGCTGACAGTCATATGGGTACTCCCTTGTAGGTAACTGACTTTTTTTCTCTTGCTGCTTTTAAGATTCTCTCTTTGTCTTTTTCTCTTGGCATTTTAATTATGATGTGTCTTGGTGTGGTCCTCTTTGGATTCCTTTTGTTTGGGGTTCTCTGCGCTTCCTGGACTTGGAAGTCTATTTCTTTCACCAGGTAGGGGAAGTTTTCTGTCATTATTTCTTCAAATAGGTTTTCAATATCTTGCTCTCTCTCTTCTTCTGGCACACCCATAATTCGGATGTTGGTACGTTTGAAGTTGTCCCAGAGGCTCCTTACACTATCTTCATATTTTTGGATTCTTTTTTCTTTTTGTTTTTCCGGTTGGGTGTTTTTTGCTTCTTCGTATATCAAATCTTTGATTGGTTCTTGCGATCTTCTAGTCTGCTGTTGGAACTCTGTATAATATTCTTTATTTCAGTCAGTGTATGCTTAATTTCTAGTTGGTCCTTTTTCATAACCTCAAGGGTCTCACTAGATTTCTTGAGGGTCTCACTAAGTTTATCGGCAGTTTCTAGAGAATTCTTGAAAAACCTTAAAAGTGTGGTTTTGAACTCTATATCCAGTAGTTTGCTTTCCTCCATTTCTGTCATTTGTGACCTGTTTCTTTGTTTTTGCATTTTTTATGCTTCCCTGTGTTGATAGAGTGGCTTTGTGTGCTACGTGTCCTATAGGGCCCAGTGGCTCAGCCTCCCCAATTACCTGAGGTGGACACTCTTGGTGCACCCCTTTGTGGGCTTTGTGCACAGTCTTTTTGTAGTTAAGCCTTGATTGTTGTAGGTATCACTGGGAGGAATTGACCTCCAGGCCAATTGGCTGTGAGAATCAGCTGTGTCTGCAGTGGGAGAACTTCTGTGCTGGAGAAATCCTTCTGGGGCAAGACTTGCTTCAGTGGGGCTTTGGTGCTCACTGAGTCTGCCCCCTGAGTGTGTCCCTTATGGATCTGAGGAGTTGTAATCTGGATGGTCCCACTCTGACCACTGGGTACACTGGCTCTTGGATCTCTAAGGAGGTTCTAATTTAGCCTTTGCCTGAGGCTACCCAGCAGGAGCCCAGCTGTGAAGCAATGCAAGCTGCTGTGGGGCCTTGGGCCTTCTTTTGGAAGTTCTGGGTTTCTCTGACCCAGCTGCAGTTTGTTAGGTAATTTTCAGATTGCAAAGGGCCAGGCCTTTCATATGCAAAAGACTCTGTGCACAGCTTGGGTGGGGCAGGGTCTCTGGGGATCAACAGGGTGGAGCAAGCAGCTATGGCTGCTCCTCAGTCCTACCCTAAGAGGCCCTGCTTCTCAGTGTCCCAGTAATCGCTGCAAGTACCTCTGAGAGAAAGCCGCCCTCGACTTCCGACCGATGCCAGACAGTCCAGTTTCTCCTGTATGAGTCTGGGTCTCCAGAGACTTGCCCAGAACTGGAGTTCAGAGCAGTCAGGAGCTTGAGGCTCCCTCCCGATTGAAAAAGACAACCGTGTCCTCAGTTTCCAGCCCTTTCCACCTGCGCTGTCCTCAGCTGCCAGCCCTTTCCACGTGCGCCGTGTCCTCAGTTGCCAGCCCTTTCCAAGTGCACCTCCGTACCTCTGCACTTTACTTCTGCACCTCCTCTGAGTCTCAGTGTGCTTTTCTCTTTCCTTCTAGTTGTAGAATTTCCACTCAGCCAGCCTTCCTGTGGTTCTGGATGATGTCCGTTTTGTCTTTTAGTTGTATTTTTGAAGTGGTTGTGGGAGGCATCAATTTCCGGTGTTTACCTATGCCGCCATCTTGGTTTTCCTCGAGTGGCCAGATTATTATGACCACCTGACGTTTGTAGGCAAATTAGCTATAATTTTGTACTGAAGTTGCTAGAGGGACAGACCGTTATAAATAGGGAAGCAGGTTGTTTACCACGACAGTGAAGTGATTTTTTTCTGAAAATATGGCTCAACAACGCGATTTAACAGCCTTTGAATGTGGGATATATTTGAACATGAGTGGCCAGATTATTATGACCACCCCATCAGTATTTTGTTGGGCCACCTTTTGCCTTCAATACTGCGGCGATTCTTCTGGCTTTGATTCCACGAGATGTTGAAAGGTGATGCAAGGAATCTGACACCATGCCTGATGAATAGCATTGTCCAGTTCTGTGAGATTTGATGGTTGTGGAACCAGCTGCCTGATGGTTCTTTTAATTTCATCCCAAAAAAGCTCAATTGGATTGAGATCTGGTGATTGTGGGGGCCACCTAAGCAAGGTAAAGTCTCCCTCATATTCTTGAAACCACTCCTGCACAATATGAGCACCGTGACATGGTGCATTGTCTTGTTGGAAGAAGCCATCTCCATTGGGATACGCCATCAACATGATAGGATGAACTTGATCAGCAACGATATTTAGGTATGTTGTGCTATTCAGACGTTGTTCCACATGAATTAAAGGGCCCAAATCATGCCAGGAAAACATGCCCCAAACCATAACACTGCCCCCACCAGCTTGAAGGGTTGTACTCATGCATGTGGGGTGCATGTTTTCATGCTGCTTCTGCTAAATTCTCACTCTGCCATCTGCATGATGCAACTGGAAACATGATTCATCGGACCACATGACTTTTTTCCATTGCTTGACTGTCCAATCCTTGTGTTCCTGTGCAAATTGGAGACATTTTATCTTGGTAACTACAGACAGCAAAGGTGTTTGAACAGGCCTTCGGCTTCCATATTCCATACGATGCAGTGTACAGCTAATTTGCTTACAAATGTCAGGTGGTCATAATAATCTGGCCACTCAGTGTATATATATCGAGTCATAAAAGTCAAAATGAAGAGGGGTAAGGAGCTGGAAAGTGCATGCTCACAGTAGGACTCACTGAGATGATACTTATTTAGAGACTTGCAATGGATGATGGCATCACTTAGACATCTGGACAAAGTGTGATGATGTCTAAGAGGGACCCACTGGTACAAAGGCCCACACTGAGAGGAGGCCAGTATGATGTGAGCAGAGCAAACGATGTAGAGGAGAGTGGGAAGTGAGGCAACAGAGTGAATAATACAGGTTCTTGCAGGCCTGTGTAAAGATGTTGCCTCTTACTCTGGGTGAGAAAGAGGGAGCCATTGCAGGGTTTTGAGCAGAGGAGTGGTGTGGTGAGAGGGCAGGGTTTGAAGCATGGGTAGAAGACTCATCAGGAGACTCCTCTACCCTTTAAGTGGCTAAGATGTTTTGAACTAGTAACTTAACCTCCTTGAGTCTCAATCTCCTCATGTCTAAAATGAGGCTAATAACTCCTTCCTTAAACATAGCTATTGTAAGGATCAAATTAAACTTATGGAAGATGCTTAGCACATGATAAACACTCAATAGATAATAATCTTTTACTAGATTGCAAGCTCCTTTTGGGTAGGGATCATGTCTTAATCATCTTTGTACCTATTTCTTGCCCAATACAATACCTTCAAAAGTGAAGGTGTTCAGCATTTTGTCAGTGTGAACATATCCAGATAGAATACCTACATTCGTATCTCTAGCACTGTGGATAGCAGTTACACTGGGCACA